ATTTTTTTTTTCCTCTTTGCTAATATTGCTCATCTGGTTGCTGGGGCAAAGGATGCAGCCACAAAGCAACAGATTCTGCACTGTAGCCTGTTGATGATGGTCTCTGTCAATATATATATTAATTGTTCTCACACCTCTGGAGTGTCAGACTAATAGGACACAACAAGGACTCACACTGCCTAAAACATACATAGGCAGTTTGCAGTCCCAAATCATTAAGCAGGAGAAACATCTATTTTACTCTGGTTTTCTCAAAGCATGACACCCTTTTCTCTTCCTGCAGCTCTTCTCCCTGAGCTGTTTCCATGATCCCAGTACAGCTCATGCAAAGCAATAACACCAGCCACTTTCAGTTCTCAGTCTCTTTTCCCTAAAGGGCAGCTCTACAGACAAAGGGGAAAGAAAACTGTAAACAGTGATGCATTGACCAAAACAAAAGTGACAGTACCAAACAAGAGTTAAGAATTAAACTGTTATTTTGTATAACTTAAACCTAACCTGACCAGGATAACAATGGTAAATGGCAGGAGAGAAGATTCAGGACACATCTGACCCAATAGGGGCTACCCTACCAGCCAGCAAAATCATCCCTGATATATTTGGTGTCCTTGCTGCTGTGGATTCCCAGGAGCAGACCGTGTTTCCCCTATAAAACTGGTGGGGGCACGACCTGCGACGGAGCACTGAGCGCACCGATTATCGGACAGCGCTGGCCTACGGCGTGGGAGAACCATCTCTGCTCCTTGCACTGTTAGAAGTCCTATGGGCCACCAAGTAATTATCCTTTTTTGCATCTTCTGTGAAACAGTGAGAATTAGAGCTGACAAGCAGAGTATAAAACCTGTTTCTCTCTGAAACTGTTCAACATAAGGGCCGCCTGCCGAAGTAGCTTCAACGAGTCTCTTTCAAAACACCCTCAATTTTTGAAGCAGATAATCAGCATTTCACCTCCTTCTATTTTATATACTAGGGCAGTTTTTTTCTCCTTGTTTCCCATGTGTGTGTTTAAACTAGCAGAGATCTACTCCAAATATGTTATATACGGCAAGCGATTCCTGCAGCTCTACCCAGCCAGGCAGCAAGCAGCTCACACGCAGGCGGATGCAGATACTGTAGCAGAAATAACACAATAAATAACCCACCCTGAAGGCTGGCAGAACCTCACTGTTTGACACCCTTTAGATACTTTCTTTTGCAGACTGCAAAAGAATATCGGCTAACATTTCATCACTGATTTTTTATAAATGCCAAAAATTGTAGGAAAAGTATTTCAAAACGCAGAAAAACAGAATCACACACAGACAAAAAAAGTGATTGTTAGTTGGGAAAAGTATCTATTATACAAGTAAAGTTAATATTTAAAGTTATTATGTACAGTTAACCTTAATATTTTTTAGTTCCTCATGATCTTAAAATGAAGATATAGGCTTTGGAATGTTCTTTAAGCAGAAAAAAGCAAAAGCATGAATGTAGATTCATGAATATTTCTTCTTCCCTTATATCATCTTGGACAAAAGAACTCCAATGGAACCTGAAATCAGCTCACTGTGATCATCTTGGTTTGCCCATACACTCTTCATTCCCCAATAATTTTAACGCCAATTTTAGTTCCAGTCTTTCAAAGCACTTAAGTTGCTACATAGCTTTAAGCACCTCAGACCATCCCAATTCAGTTAACATAGGAACATCCTTGTTTCGTTTCCAACCCAGATTCCTGGCTTTGTCAGGATCTTGCCCAGGAATGTTCATACATGCTGAGAGCTGATGGACAAAGAGATTCCTGAAAATACAGTTGAATTTTAACAGCTACCATATTTCACTGAAAAATAAAGAAACTATATCTGACATTGAAATGGACAACATTGCAGTATAATATTTTATCCTTCAAGAAACTATATTAAAAATTGTTCTAGAAATTGTATTTATAAAAAAGCATCCTTAAAAGAAAAAAGCAGATGGTTTCTTCTCTGGGGTTAATAAAAATGATGGACCAGTCATTGCTTCCCTGCTACAGTTACAAATATCTCATTTCTACTTGAGTCAGTGCTTTTATTCCACATTCATATTAACTCTTAGGAGTCTGTAAAGAAATCCAGTTTCTTTAAAGCCTTCTGAAGTAAATGAAGAACATTTACTCCTCACTGATAAACCTGGCTGCTGATATGGTTACCTCAAATCTGAATATTATTTAATGAACATTTGCAATGAAAAGAAAAAAAAAAAAAGAAAGAAAAAAAGATCTCAAACGGGACTGAAGAGTCAACTTCTCAATGATCAGACCTCTAAGAATAGAGGGAAGAACCTTCTACACAGATCACATACCAATGAAATAACCAAACCTTTCTTAGCAAATCAACTCTTGAGTCTTCTTTTCAAAGAGGGGGTGTTCTAGAAACTTCCAGCAAAGTTATAAAATGTGTTTTTCAAAATACAGCTTGAGCCAAATCAGTGCTCAAAGAATATAAACGTAGTACCCTGGCCAAGGTAAGTTTCAGTAAACTAGACACTTAGCTGAGGTCTCTGCTTTTCTCCATCGACTAGCAGGGATCCTAAAGCAAAAAGAGCTCTCATTTAGATACCTCGCTTAGGTGCCCATGGTTAGGATGGGTGAATCCAGCTCAGAAAATTACACAGTGTGGATGATGGAACAAGTCTAAGGTAATAAATCATGTGCTGATTTGAAGGAGTTTTCTTGACCAAGAGCCTGCAGTCCCAACAGCTCTTCTCTCTCAGTAAAATCAAAATGGCAAATGATGACACATGGCAGAAAGTGTTCTCTAAGCTGCAAAGAGGGGGAAATCTCCTACATCTCCAAAACAAGAAATGAGTATGCATACAGAATTCCATATATATCATAATCCATTGTCTCAAAACCATTAAATCTATGCTAGATTCAGCAGCAATATTGGTTATCTACTTTAATTTGCGATGAATATTATAACAGCACAAAGTAATCATTCTTTTCTCACAGGAGGTCAAAAGGCAAAAAAAAAAAGTATTTTAAGAATTCCATGTTCAGTTAATTATTCTTCAGATAAAATTGCAACCGTTACATTTAAATTTCTAATTTCTGTTATTAAGATTACAAGTGAAAGCATTAAGAAGTTAAGAGACAAAAGTACTGCAATGTCATATTTCAGGGAAGAAACGGAAAAAGAAAACAAGCTAGGTATTATTTTGCAAATGAACATGACACCTTGGAGAATTTATTTATTCCAAGGGATTTTTTTCCAATGAAAGCCAAGCTGCTACCCAAAGAACTTGGAGCTTGGAGACAAATGATAAAACTCTAGAGAAGCTGGATAAAAGCTAAAAGAAAATTCTTCAGATAATAAAGGGACAGAGGAAGACCTTAAAAAATAAATGTATTCTAAACTGTAATACAAGCAAATGTACTGAGATGACACAGAGCCAAATATTATATGCGTATGCACACAGCTCTAGAAGGCTGCTTCTCTGAAGCAGAGTTTTGAGCTTTTTTAATCAAACCACATAGTATAGATATTACAAAGAGGCAGGGGTGCTGACACCAGTAGGGTTAAGCAAGCTCTTATATGTTTTATTGTACCATAAACTACATGAGCTAGCTCTCTAGCAATGTCAGCCTGATTCAGAATAATAGACAGCTTAGATTTCTTAAAAAGCAGCACTCAGCAACAATAGAGTGAAATGAATAGAGTTTTGTTGGCAAAAGCACAAAACACACATATAAATACAGCCGCACGAATCAAACACTCAAAAATAACTGAAGAGAGGGGGGAAAAAAGAGAGATCTAATTTGCTTAAGCACCAAGATATTTTATTGCAGTAGCTTGTACAAAACTAACATAGGAAAGGATTAAAGGAAGGCCTGGAGAAAAGGTTATGCCCCTCATAAATACTTATTTATTCGCACTGCTCCAGTGATGCCTGATGAGGAGCTGAGGTTACCTCCAATGCCTATTCCCACAGCCCTGGATGAAACAGGGTTTCTTTGATGCCCGAGTATTTAGCAGAGGGCAAACTGTGGCACACAACTACATTATTTCTTGTTCAAAGAATACTCAAAAGTGAATGTATTTCAAAATGAAATGCATGAAAAACAGTTTTAATGGCATCTTTCAGACGAAAGATGTAGGCTGTCAAAAATGCCCTTATTTGCCTTTTAAAAATCATTAGAAAGATTGATCCTAAAAATGGGCACATCCTAAAAAATTGTATCCTAAAAAAATAAAATCCATAGATTATATGTACTACTACTTCTGCCATTATTAGAAAAGATCATTTGACTCTTCTTTCAAGCCCCAAAGCTAAACTTATGAATTATTGAGCTAAAGTGCTGAATACAGATAGAGAGATGTAAGACAGAGGACAAGAAGGAGCAGAAGAACATCTAAGGCTACCTAGACTGAAATTGTGTCTGTTCATACTAGGGTAATAACGCTTTTGTGCATATATTGAGAAAAGCAAAAGAAGGATTTTAGTAACATTTTTTCTGCACTATAATTTATTTCTCTATTGCATACTACAAGTAAAATTAATTGTGAAGTTAAAACTGTCATGCAGGCTTAGAGGACGAGGATATAAAATAGTATTTTTAACAGTTTTGGCCTAAATATTGTGAAAAATACATTATGGTTAATTTTGGGATGCTTCCTTTAATTTATTATGCTGAAATGAAAAGGAAATATGATATCTAGAAAGTCAAGATGTACCTATATACAAATATTCAGTACGTTTCAAGCTAAAGTTTCTCTTGAAAAAACACTAATTGGACAAACAAAAGCGAAATCACTGAGAGCATATAATTCATTGCTATATACATTAAAACTTTTCTGTAAATAGTTGAACCAAATGCAACAGCACTGACGAAAACTGCAAGGAAAAAAAGCGTGTCTGCTGTTCAAAAGGAAGCACAATCAGAAGTGTTGCTGTCACTTGCTTGTTACTTCAATGAAAATTTGTAACCAACTATAACCCAAGACAATTAGTCAAATCTGACTACGAAGGGATGCGATTACCTCAGAGCGTATATGCTGGAGAGACTACATGTAGTGACAGAAACACTCTCATAGTCACTGCTGGAGATGGAGCTGAGGGGGGAATCACGTAAGCCATCCTGAGAACTGAAAAAACATACGGAAACAAAATGAACTGCTGGAGCCAACAGAGGTAAAAGCAGAGCTCCGTGATAACTCACAGATCCTGCACCATTGCACATAGTAAAAGTAAATTGACAGATACATTTTTGTTCTTTAGAAAATAATAAGTATCTAATTTATCTTACCAAAAGGACAATTTGGCAAAATCAATGGGCACACACCTTACAAAAATCTTCAATTTAATTTATAACATACAGTTAAAACATTCGGGAAAGGACCAAAAGATCTCAGGATTGCATAGAGTATGGATGTACAGTCTACCCCAGCAGTTAAGTGCAGCCTGATTACATAGCAAAGATGTAACATCACTGGAAATTCATGTAATTACTATGGGCTTCAGGCCAAGGCAGCCTAAAAAGCAAATTTCAAGAGCTTCTGAAATATCCTGACAATTTTGAGGCAAGTTTCCACAGAATAAGGATGAGAAAGAGAAAGTCCATTGATTATTGTCTCTTCAGTAAAAGGAGGGGGATAATACGGCCTCCCCGATCTGACCAGTGCCCATGATGCCATGTGTGGTCCTCACGTTGCCTTTAAGGCCAATGTTGTAGCAACCCCATGAAAATACTTGGTTAGACCAGAACTACTAGCTACTAAATAAAATAACATGAATAATTTTAACTGTTTTCATCTTCTCCCCATCATCCCTAGGTTAATGAAAAGCCATTAAATATCACGTCAGGTTAGATCGCACATAATATTATCAACATAAGGTAGTATTAGGAGATTAAAAATTAGTCTCATAAGCACTACAGACCTGTCTTGGAGAGACCACTTTTTAATATTTCAGTAATAATTTGCTGCTCAGCTACTGGAAATTCCACAGGCTGAAGAAAATCTAATTATAGCAGATGGAAAAAAAAAGTCATCTTGAGCAAATATATGAAAATTGTGTTGATTCTGGGCACTACAGAAGAATCATTGGAGCC